TTACTTATCTTCAACAAGGAAAGGGTTGCTGATCTTATGACAAAACATTCCTAAAGCTAAATTTCAGTTTACAGAATGAACTACAATTGGTATGAGTTTTCTTAACAAACAGCAATTTTAGCATAAATTAGGTATTTTGCATAATGAAACTCGAAAGGCATACAACCGAAAGTGCGCCAAGGGTATATATTGGCGAGAGAAAGTAAAGCTCGGTGTGCAATGGCAGTATATTTGATTTTCACCCTAGCTACGTGTACCTGGCCGAAGTCTAATCCGGTGCCTGTTCTCTCTTTCAGGTAGCGATGGCAAAGGTATCAATTCCTGTTTATATTTCTTATTGCCACCTAAAATAATGTAGCCTGATATTAGGACTGATGATGATTCTCTGTAAGTTATTTCCTTTTCCATACTATCAAATGTTAATAATGTCCTTGAACATTAAGTTACTTTGTTTGTTTATGCTTCATTTAAGCAGAATTATCCTATTTTATTTAAATAACCTTTCGTAGTTACTCTTTGACTTATATTCATTTAAATTCTGTTCTTGAGGAACGTACTCATTACGCCTTCATGCATGCACAAAACCCACAATTAATCACCAGAGTTCTCGGAATGCAACGATATTGATCAATTCTTTTTAGTCTTTCTAATTCTTTTCTGAACTTGTTTTTTCTATTAATGCCAAGTTCCTGGCACGTTTAAACTTAAAGTAATTCCTCATAGGTATCGATCCGTGCATCCCGCATTCTCTTCGGATATACGGAAAGTTTTTATTCCCGTTCGGAATTTTTTTTTTTTTTTTTTTTAAATGTTTTTTTATTTAAGAAACCCTGCAATCGTGCAAATGACGCATTATTTTCTTTTAAACTGTAAAGGAATGAAGATTGTTGTTGCGCTTCTTAATGATACCTTATAAGGTATTTCTCCCGTTTCCCCTAGCGTGCCTTCGTGGTGTATGGTAGCTGCAGCTGCTGGCCGGTATTCACAGGAGTTCGTGTTCCTTCCCGGCGAAGGCGTTTGCTATTTTTCATCTCGTCTGCTTCCAAAAAATACCTGATGTCTCTACAACCTTAGATAAATTTTAAGCTCGTGTGTACCTTATGAAATTGATAAAGCATCCTTTGAGAGGAGGGGAATCTGCGAACTGGCAGCTTTTTTGAAGTCCTGCAAAATTTTCTAAGAATATGCAGTAATAAAATAATGTAATAAGAAACGTAATATCGAGGTGCTGTGTTAAAGGATTATCTCTTTCTACGTCAGTTACTGGGTGCCATTTAAAGAGAACAATCTATGAGCAGAATCTGAACTAATTCTTCTGTCTAATTGCTCGCCATACTTACTTAAAAATTTTAAAATTTTGAAAGTTTCAAATTATAATTTCTTGCAAATACTGCATTATACTGTAAGATATTCCCTAATGCCTGTCCAAACATCAGTTTTTTAACTTATGCAATTAGACACTGAAAGTTTCTCTTCTTTTTGTATAGTAAGGAAAAAGCTTTTTTTGAAACAGTCAACAGAAAGCTTCTGACGTATTTATAGGCGGATGATTGCGCAAGTCTTCGATCTTACTCACGCAGACGCAGTTTCGTTGAATATTTCATCAAGGTCATGATATAAAAGCGGAGTGCTCACAATAAAACTATCAACAGCTATAATAAATTTTCCGATATTCCATGCTTCTACGGACTTAACTTTCCACAGCTTTTATTTGATATTTTTAGCTTTGTTTGATTAAACTTAATCAGCCTAGCAGAATTTGTAACTGGATCGTAGTTTTATGCAGTTCTCCATTAGTTAAACTAAATATATTTTCTCATAAACAATTTTTTTCCAAGTGATGAGTATGCAAATGAAAATTCATTTGAACTTTCCTACATTTATTTAATATATTCAAAAAAATATGAATTAGAAATAATTTTATAAAGTATTTCTCCTGCCTTCTTAGTATGACTTCGTGGTGTAGAGGTCAGCACGTTCGATGCGAATTTGCGAGGACTAAGGTTCGAGAACTGGCGGGGGCATTGCTCATTTTTCATCTCCCCTTCTTCCAAATAACCTAATGTCTCTGCAGTGGCACCCGAACTAAAAGGTGGTGAATAATGATTCTTCACCACCAAGATTTGGCGATTGGGTCCCCTAAAACCCCAGTCGCCCGTTAAAAGGGGGAGTATATAAGGTATTTCTCCAGCCTTCTTAGCATGCCTTCATGGGTGTAGTGGTCAGCACGCTCGACGCGAATTCGAGAGGTCCGTGGTTCGAGTCCCGGCAAGGGCATTTTCATCTCTCCTGCTTCCAAAATAACCTAATGTCTCTACAACTTCAACAAAGATAAACATGTAGTTTTTCTAATTGTTACTATATCACGAAAGAGTTTCTGTCACGCAGTTGTACATCAACGGTACATCCGTTTGACATTAACACCGTTGATTATTTTATTAGCCAGTTATTAGGTAGAATGATGCACAACTGACTCATGTTACAGCATGAATAATTATTTCATTGTTCACAGGTATGGTATTTGTCCACTTTCGCGTGCGAATTCTGCACCTAAAATTTTTCAGTTTTAACTGCGTTTCATATTTCAGTTAATCTCAAAATATACGTGAGATTTCTTTAGCTGAGATTTCAGACTTTTCATAGTTAAGCTTAATATAATAACGGAAATTTCCCCTATCATATTCAGTTTTTAGCATGTAATTCCTGTCTGATAACAGAGTAGTTTTGTATTATTATAACAAGAAAAAATATACATCGTGTCCACAAAAGTCGTTACCCGACATATAAGCATCCGGATGTCAAAGGATACGTCAGGACACACAAAACGCGAAGAGTCAGCGCACGCAGTTCACAGCAACTTAAAAAAGAAAGGAAGGCGCCTTTCCAGGCATTCTTCTGCAAGTGAAAGGCAGACTGTAATTACAATATGCCTATAAGATAACATTAGGACGCATTTTACATGTAGTAGAATTATTGGCAGGCTTGAGGAGCGTAGTTTGACATCTGTCGGCCAAGAGTTTGGAATTGATAAAAGTGTTATTTCACTATCAAGAGAAGCCTTCCAAATGACACTTATATTTCTAAGAAAGGTTGGTGTTTGTCAGCCAACGAAACCAATAACGACAAATATATCGCCCTGCAGGCGAAACCAGATCGAAACTAGAGAGCTGGCAACATAACTAAGCGGTTGCCCCATGGCAACCGGACCACAGGTGTCTCAGTTTACTGTGGTCAGACTACTTCATAAAGGTGGCTTGTTCACCCACCGTCCTAAACGCTGCATACAACTGACACCAGCCCTTCGGCGACACCATTTACAGTGGTGCAGAGAACACGGATACCTCATCAATGGAGTTGCGTCCTCTTTACCGATGGCAGTCGTTTCAGTCTGACAAACGATTCTCGGCGCCAATTGATGTGCAGAGAGACAGGGACACATTTTCTTACCACTAACATCAGTGAAAGAAACCGCTGCGGTGGTCCTGGTATGCTTGTATGGGAAGACATTATGATGAAAGAACGAACAAAGCTCCACTTCGACAGAGGTTCCTTCCCGGAGATCGTAACTGTGATGGAGTTATCCTCCCCCATGACCTCATTTCGAAGCCTAGATTTGACAAGTCTGAACTGCTTCTTTAGGAGATATGTTTTTTACAGACGATTGATGGACTGAAGTCTGCCACCAGCCATGAAATACACGATGCATGATGCAAACTTTCTTGCCTTACCTCGGATAATGCATCTATGCAGAAAGAATGCATTTAGAGGATATTATCTTCAATGTTCATTAATGCCCGTTTATTCGTATTTATAAGTGTTCAATGTGTCTGACTTAAAGATACAAAGTTGGAGTGCATATACTTAGAGTATGTAGTTAATGATTTTCATTCTTAATCCGTTTTTACCTTCAGCTTTTAAGGAAATTATTTCATAGCTGTTTTCATTTATGGTCAAAAATGGCGCTGATAGCTTTATTCCTTAGCTGGAACTTACTCGAATCTTTTGTCTATTATTACTTGTTTCTCCTTTCACAAATTTTACTTCCGCAGTTGAAGGAGAAGATTCTATTTAACCTTCGAAGCTAGTCCCGCAGATTTATACAATTTAAGCTGATTCTTCTTGCTTCGGTATCTTCAACCAATAAGTACCATTTTTGAGTAGATAGATGTCTTGATAAACAAATAAATAGTTTGAAAATACTTGTCTTATAATGAACAAAAAGCTGGCAAAGCGGTCTATTTTTCAGTTTATTTGTTATTAATCATTTTTTTTAAATTACGTAATATTAAACCTGCGAATAGCATTTATTGCTTCTCTTGAAAGTATAAGATCCCAAAGGATATAACAGACTAGCGGTCAAGATCACAGTGCTCAACAAAGTACCTAATAAACATGTATATAGGATTTTATATCAATTAATTCAGTTGCCTGATTATTTTGCCGCTATTATTACTTTTACTTTTGTCAACTCCCACTAGGATGCAAATTAGCTGATATATATGAAGAATAGAGTTTTTGAATCAGAGAGGTTGACCTGCTGACCTCCAACTCTGCTTATGCCTCCCTATTCTTGAACAGATATATCAGCTTTAGGTACGGTAGCCGATTTTGCTTCGAGAAAATTTAGGGTAAAGCTAAAGCTTATTTAGTCTCATTACTTAACATTCTTAATTTGACTGGAACAATTGATCTAAGTTTCCCTCAATTAGCGGCTGTTAAGCGTTTGTTGTTGCACAGTTTTTGTAACCGTCAGGCTGAAGTGATACAAATAAAGACAGTTATTACGTTTACAGATTATTATCGTCTGTATACGGATTTAAGTTGACCAACCCGAGTACTAAGCACATGGTGAAGATTGTACTAAATCTTGATATTGTCTTTAGTATTTTTATCAAGTGTTCTGAATTTTATACTAATAAAAGACTTCCCTTAGGTATAAAATTTTTTTTATTATAAAACATTTTATTAAACATTTTATGCTTATTCTAATAAACTTCAGACCATTTTTAACTATATTAAAAAGGATTTCTTACAAAGGATTCTCTTATATATCTTTCTTTCATAATCCTTTTACTAATGCTGTGCTAAAATTACCTTATTGAACTATATCACACTTACATAAAACATAAATTCAGAAAGCTATGTCAAATTTTCAAGTGCTGATGTTAAACGTATCTACCTTTTCAATATTCCTTTTAAACATGAATAAGTTTGAATATATTCTAAAGTTATATATGCGTCCTTTTAATTCAAAGTCTAAATAATGCACTCATTTCACAATCATTATATTCTCAGGTCTGATCGCGTATCAGTCTATAGAACAGGAAAACACAAGTAGAACCAAGGTCTCATATTTCAGTTTTGGGATTGATTTGGTATTTAAATTACCACTTGTCTGCGCTCAGATGAGCCGCATTAGGTGGCGCCATCTTTTGCTTGGTTCTATTATTAGTTTAATGAATTTGAAAATTGATTTAATTTCTGAATTATTTTACAAAAGAAAATGGGCAAGGACCTATGCAACCCCTCCTCTCCGGTAAAATAAATATACATATATGCGTAAATAAAAGTTAGAGTAAAAATTTTTAATTTAAACCAATGAAACGGGAAAAAATGAAAATAAGCGAAAGAAGAAGAGAAAAGAGAAATTAATAACATGAATGAAAATATTATTTTAGTATTATGTCGCTTTTGTCACAGATATCAAAACTCTAATTTTTAAAGAAATAAGAAGTGAAAGTTTCATATATAGAATATATTTTTTTTTCCCTTTGAGTTCAACAATGCGAAAACGAAAATTGAAACTGCAGACGACTCTCTGAATGAAAGAAGTATCTGTGACAAGCAAGGGAGGATGGGCTATCGGGAATTCGGCAAATTTCGCAAGGCGCCATTGGCTGTAGGCTTAGTTTAGAAAAAAATGGATGACACATTAAGCATAATTTTAGGATTCCTGAAACAAAGAGCAACAGATTTAATGGAAGAAAAGGATTTAACGACGTTAAAAAAAATTCATATGAAAAAAAAAAAAAGTAAATAAATTCGGATGATAAACTAATGGTAAACATATTAAACTCATCAGCTTAATTCAGGCATCGTGGTTAAGGAGCATTCTTCATGATATAAACTGAAAATTACAAGGGTGCCAGGCACCCCTTATGTCTTGGTGAACAATGGAAAACTCACAAAAAAGATGCCGGCACTTTTATGCAAGTTGGCCACACAGGTTAGAAGAATCCTATCCGTCCCTGGTGGTAAGAGTTTGTAAACGTAGCAGATGATTCGGTTTTAATTACTGATCAGTTGTTTATAGTAGAACATAAGGGATTTGCGTACAACAGAAGTGTGAGTGATTCAGAGTACTTAAGAGTTAAAAATTGAAATGAGTTGTGTAATTTTTGCTCTAAAACTTTTCCTACGAAATCCAGAACAAGTATTTCGAAATCACCCAGTCTCGCCTCTTCCGAAGAAAAATTCTGCCAAGCCAAATCAGCTGTGAACATAACGGTGATCATTATGTGCTGTTAACATAATCATTATGTGCTGTTAACATCATTATGTATTATTATTGTATATATCAAAGGTATTTTTGTATATTACAAGCATTCTATTCTTCCAAAATTACTGTCAATTTTGTATACTAGGTTTCAGTCCTCGAATTTCAGCTGCAATACATATCGAGTTAGTAATGCAAATTGGCTGTCTACAAGTGGAATGCATCTACCTCGGCAGAAGGCGCCAGGTAGACACTTTTGTGCCTTTCACCATGTGTAATGCTAATAGGAGCAAGTTTTCTTTGAAAAACGTATTCCACGAAGACACCTTTTCCCTTAGGGCCCTCGTGTGCATTGTCCTAAGGCACTAAACATGAATACACGACGACAATAGATAAGAAAGAAGGCACTGTACACCACGACAACTCCTGCCCGCTGCTTAACTTCTTACTGTGTCACACAATACTTAAATCTTGACCTCGCTCCATGTGACTTCAGTTTGTCTCTTATGCTGAAAGAGAAGCTCTGCGGAAAAAATTCACTGCTGCAATTTTCACAAAATGCCTTGGCCGCATGTTTTGATACGTGGACATGTCATGTGACGAAAGATATGCTGCATTTCGTAGATGTCAATCCATAATGAAGAGCAGACTTGGTAGCCGAGGCAGGTTAACTATGAAAAATGAAAAATTTTTATCAAGCATAAATATACAAATAAATAAATAAAAATAAATTCTAAATTTTGCTTATTAAGTATTTTTTAAAAAACATACACAAACAGTAATAATAATACAAAGAAAATAATTCAAATTTATATGTATTTCTATTCTGAAATCTAAAGTTTAGTATCTGCAGGACATTTTTGTTGGTTACAACTTTGTAAGCCAAATATATTGACAACTAAATATTAATACTACTTCAGAACGACATTTATTTCAAACAATTCTAATATGTTTAATTAATCATTTATATCTTACTTTAATTTAAACTAAGAATGAAAACTTTCCAAACTTTCCACCTGAGGATAAATATTGTCAACTTAGTCTCCTTCTCTTATTTATTAAATTTTTCTTCGACACAAAATATACATTTATTTGCATGCAAGTAATTATAATTTTCCTTATTTCTTACTACAGCTTGACACAGGACAGCGTTTGATTCTATTAAAATCCATAGCCTTGAAGAAAATTACTTGAAATTATATGCATCACGGATTATAGATGCTCATCGGTCAGTCGGGTTCCTTTCTTGATAATTTCAACTTTGAAGAAAGCTGCTAGCATACAACTGCATAATAACTAACTCGAGCGATTTTTCTTAGTGCAAAAATTCTTAACTGAGCATACTTATTTTTTTACATATATGATTAAAAGTTAATAATATCTATATCTTCACATCTTTGAATAAGATTGCTATCATAGTATAGAATAATTAGCTCTATTTATAGACTTTCACATTCGCTTTTAATGGTAAAGAAAATAATGTACAGTAGAACTCGAAATAATTAAAAGCTAGACATCTTGTAAAATTCTAACCTGTGTACTTTTAAGTTACAGTTAATGTTGAAGAATCTTAACTACTAGTAAGCGAATAATAGCTTGAGTTTGTGGGACAGAAAATAAAACTTAAAGGATTAAATACCCTTTATTATTCCAAATTAATTTGACGGAACTCCTTCTTGGAGTTTTACAATAAAGCCTCCACTTGGGCTTGAACTTAGGATACTAAGAACTAAAACTTAACTAATCTTAATTAAAAAGATATAGCCGAAGCTATCAAAATTCTAACAGAGTTGGACCCTTAATGCTAAATAACGGCGAATGCATTCAAACGCGATTCTAAAAATACGCTCTGGCCGGAAGTTGTAAGCTTGAAATTAAGAAGCGATAGGAAAGTAAATTTAACTCAATTTAGCTGTTAGATAAATTAACATAATCCTTGAAATCTTCACAACATGTATTTAGAACAAATACATAACTGAAGTGTATTCGCGAAACGCTTAAAATTATCTCTTGAGCCGCAAGATCGAGATCATTGTTTTATATTGAATATTTTTATTAAATGCAATTTCTAGCATATTTTTCTATTTTAATTGTTTTCCGAATATTTGTTTATAAACGCATAATTATTAATAAAAATTTATGTGGTTGATTACCGTACTATAACCGTCTGTTCACGCTCCTTTCTTATAAAATTATTATATTACATAAACTGCAGTTACAAAATTTGCAGAGTTTGAGACAAAAATGATTTGATATAATAAAACTTTCGACAGTAAGTCCTTTTTTAATGTATGAATGACTAACTGAAGTAATTACAATTGCATTTAAGGGTAAAAAATTACACACATAAAGCAGAAAATATGTTTTAATTTTTTTAATAAGTTCTCTTTTATTGACTTCTTTTTTTAAGAAACTCCTTCCTTTTTTCAAATGCGATATTTGCCAACCTTGTAAGTCCCAAACACAATGTAACAAAACATTTTTATTACATTAATTAAATCAATTTTATAAAAGGAAGGGCCCCCTACACAAAACTTTTACAGCGCCATATCCCATGAAACATTAGCTCTCTGAAACTGAAACATGCAATTAAGAATTTTAATTCATAAATAAAATAAATTAGATATATACAACGATACTTTTTCCAGGGTATCATTTTCCTATTTTCCAAATGATTCTTTTCTGTGATATTCTAATGAAAATTAGTGCTATGCGTTGGAATAAATTGTTCAAGAGGATTAGGAATTCATCGAATTGATGCAGCATTATGCGTGTAGTAAAAAAAAAAAAAAAAAAGTTCGATGTCGTTCAAGCAAAACATCTCTTCAATAAAATTTTGTGCATCTCCTTGCTGCAGCCGTCTCTCGTATACTAACGTATCCTTTTGTTCTCTTTGCACGTAAAGCAAGAAGTAAAGTAAGTTTTGATTTAGCAAAAATTGTATCCATTTTAAATAAAAATTATAGCCGTAGCCAAAGTACCACACACAGACACACACACACAAAAAAAACTTTCCCCTCAAGTTTCCGGTGTAAAGAGCCATCTAGTGGCCTTCTAGTAAAAAGAGCCAACTTTTAAAGCGCATGTTGTTCACGAGCTTGTAAAGCCTTCCAAACAACACGTATAGCTCTAAGAAAGGTTAGTGGTGGTCGGCCAACGTAACGAATGATGACAGATATTGTAGGCGAAAAGAAATCGAAACCAGACAACTGGCAATATCGCTCAGCATTTGCACATGGCATCCAGACGACAGATGTCTCGGTTTACTGTGGTCATATAAAGGTCGCCGTCGTAAACGAACCGCTGCTAGGCCTATGGACATACTCAGCATCTCTGCTATTATCAAGAACGCTGCTGCAAATGCGGGAAAGCTCATAAAACCATCTCATGTCCAAAGAAGCCTGAAGAGAGAGACCCTCATGCATATTCTGCGGCGAAGAGCACGTCAGTAGTTACTGTGGATATAAGGCTTATCAAGAGAAATTTTCCAGGAACGAAACGCAGAAAGAGACTTCAGTTCGAATGGAAATGCAATTTATCTTAGTATACTATTGTAATAAATTAAACTTCTCTGACAGTGAAATATTCACGTGTAAATAACGGAGATTTCTACCCACTCCATATGGACTTTGAAATTTTTCTCAAAATTATCATGCTGCAGTTTCATACGAAATATGACTAAGAAAATGCCAATGTCTCATCTTCATAAGAAACATCAACTTTTAGAATGCTTTGACTTAGAATACTAGGAGAATAAGAATCATTTATTTTGCGAAATGTTTCGCTTTGAGTAAACAATTACTTCTTTAGCCCATTCGAAAAGAGTAATTTTCCATATATAACCACAATATTGCACTGTTGTACCAGGGTTACATTTTAACATATTTGATTACATATCCAGCGAATATTTGAAAAACGTTAGCCCTTTTTCCTTAAATCTTCACAATTTTCAACTTTACTAACACACAGAAGCCTTTACTGGATTTTTAGTAAAATTTTAAAAATTTGATTGTTTAATTGCTAATTTGATAGGTTCCGACTACATTCTACTTGGAACACAATCATAGTTTATCACGGAGAAATATTTCTACATGAAATTTGCCACTATTCTTTTTAATTAATTTCCGAAATATTTGCTTATCTATGAAATTGGTTACCTGGTACAGTGCTAAAATATTACTAATTTTCGCTTTTCCAATGCATTTCATATGTGACCAATACTCAGTATAGAAAATTGTACTTCTTGCATCTTGTTCTGCATTGATGGATCAGGGTCATGATTTTAATTTTTTTTATTTTATATCATTCGACTATGCTAAAAAAAAAGTCATGTTCCTTTGGTTCTGTAGCACAATGTAAAGCTGTAAAGCATTATTTTACTATTATGCAGATCTGATTATTCTATTTTTAGGTAGAATGTAAAGTTTAACTGGAATATTTGATTACTGATTTAGATGATTTTAGGAATATTCTACTCAAAAGAAAATATTCGTAATTTACTATCAAAATAATTTACTCACGTACTTTTTTGCATTCTTGGTTAATTTTAAACTGCTGCTTACCTACGACATTTGATTTTTAGTCAGTTATTGAAATGATTACCAACTTTTTTGCTTTTTTAATGCATTTCGTAATCAGATATGCTCAGTACAGAAAATTCTTCCGACTTACTAATACTACAGCTAAAACTGAAAATATGCGAGTGTTTCCTAAAAATTTATATGCTTGTTTTATTTGCAAAAATATCCATGATTATCTGAAATTTAATACTTTAATGTTTATTTACCTGCATCAAAAACTTTCAAATTAATGTTTATTTAACTTAAATGTTTATTCACCTGCATCTAAAATTTTCAAATAGTTTTATATTCCATAAAATTTAAGTATTTGTAATGTCATACAACTGAAAGAACGCAGTCCTCCATACACTTTGGAATAAATAATATATAAATACATCAGAAATACGATTCACGATATTGCGTATGCTGCATTAATGTAATTATACAGTTCCCGGAAATACAAGAACGTTCACACGCCCCCCAAAAAATGATTACGCTAACACAATGCAGTTAGCAGTATAAGAATAACAATGTTGTCTTATGAAATTAAAATGTACGTAATAAAGATAGTGTCTAATTCAATGTTTCCAATTTAACAGTTTTAATGCTATATCTAGCATTATTTTGTAGCATGTAGCATGAAAATTTCGAAACTGGTATCTAGCGCAAAAAATGGCACATTTTAATATTGATTAAAAATTTTAATATTGAAATTTATTTATTTTGAATACTTAATTTTTTCTTTGAGGCATAGGTTTTTATACGAAAGAAACTGGCAACTCTGCTAGTTTCTGTGTTTATTCTGCTCGAGACAACATTTTTTATCTGACAGGGCATCTCTTTCCTAGTGAGTACGGGTGTCACGACATCCGGGTCCCCTTCCCTTTTCTTGTCTTCTGCTTTTTTCTTCCTCCCTTGTAGTTTCTAGGAGGCTGGAGCTCAAAATGACATGCTGTTATATATCTTCTACTTCCAGCTTCTCATAGAGAGAAATTTGCCTCCTGTTTTCTGTGCGTGGACACCCGAAAGGATGAAAAAGCGGAGCCTGGTAGTTGAAGGGCGAGGTTCTGTCTCATCTCGCTAAGTTAGCTTCTGCTTCAGATTGAAAAGAG